CATTCAACCTGGACAGTCTCAAGATTGGCAACCTTGGGAAGGTGTGGTGCAAGTCATCAGCGAGAAGGACGCTCAATAAGGTAGTCTTCGAAGCGAACTCTCGTCTGGTTTCACCTGACAACTACAACCTATTTTACGGGTTTCCCTTTGCTTACGAAGCGCATCAACCTGTTGACATGATAGAAATCGATCCTCTCTTGAAGCATCTCAACGAGGTATTGGCAGACAATGATCCTGCTGTAGCAGAGTACATTCTAAATTGGTTAGCTCATCTTGTTCAGAAGCCGTACAAAAAAATCGGAACAGCTTTGGTCTTCAGATCTGACCAAGGCGCAGGCAAAAGCATAATCACTGACTTTGTGGGCAAACACGTCATCCGACCCCGTTATTACTTGTACTGCAACGATATGGAGAAAGTCATAGGCAAATTCAACGGAATAGCAGCAAACCTCCTCTTGGTATGCTTTGATGAGGTGAGCTCTTGGGGGGGAGCATACAAATCGAACAATCGACTTAAAAGTCTGATCACACAGGATACAACAATCCTGGAAAAGAAAGGTATCGATCCCCTTCAAGTACCCGATCTGGCTAATTATTGGTTCAACACGAACGAAGACTGGCCCATCAAAAAAGAGGCCACAGACCGTAGGTATGCATGCTTCGAAGCATCGGACTCTAGAATCGGAGATCAACCCTACTTTGATCGGCTTTGTGAAAGCCTCACTAGCACTACAGCTGAACATTTCTATCGGTACTTGATGTCAAGAGAAGGCGTCGATAACTGGAATGCAAAACAGATCCCCAAAAGCAAGTGGAGTTCAGCCTTAAAGGAGCACTCAATCCCCTTCTGGGCAAAGATGATATGCGGTCTGCTAGACAACGGCATATTTTCAGCGGATTTGAAGACAAAGGTGCTGAGCGCAACCATATTTAAGACATATAGATCCTTCTTGGACAATCAAGGCGCCAAGGAAGATCCACCGACACAAAAAGACGTGTTCATCGGTCGCATCAAACGGACACTTGGACTTGACGGTTTCAAAGACACCACTGGTCGCGGCTTGATCTTTCCAACGAGGAGTGAGCTCGAGAAAAGGCTGCAAGAGATACGTTTACACGTCGACGAAGTGTACTGGGAGGGGTCATGGGCGTTCGACCCAACTCTTCTAAGCTCGTCGGCTTGATATTTTACAATTTCTAACCCATCACTTATTACTTTCTCTCGTAAGTTAGCATCGCTGTTCCCCAGTCGTGGAGCATCCTATCGGCTAACTGCTTCCTTTCAGCAATAGAATGATCATTCGCGAAATGTTCGCTGATGAAAAGGTGACGAAGGTGGTTTTGATTTAATCGCTTTCCTTTTGGAAAAGTGATCGAGCCCACAAATTTTGTAAGGTAATTGTCTGACATGGCTTCTGTGGTATTCCCCAGCCGAGACAGAACGAAACCTCGAGGAACTAGCTCTATTGATCGTTTTATGTAGTTGTTTAGGCGCTGTGAGAGTTCAAACTCTTTTGTCCCATACTTCTTGCTCGTCTTGTATGCCTTCAGTACAAGCAGGAACTCACCACTCTTGCTCTCACGAAGGCAATTGCCGGTATCATGAAAGGCTGCTTTGGCCTCATCGCAATAAAAGGTTCCGTCCGCTTTCTGAAGAGGAAGACCGCTGAGATCCCTTCGCTTCGGTGGCTCGTGGATATTGAACGCAAGCAGTAGGTGCTGAAACACTATTTTTACTTCGTCTCTGCTCAGGTTTGATCCACCTTTATGATTTGGCATGATGCTCCTTCGTATCTGCCTGTTAAGCTCTTCCGCTTTGGCTTTCAACTCTTCCATAGAGATCCAATTGGCAGCTTCTTTCTCTGTGGCCTTCTGTTGGCCAACCTTCTTCATCTGATCCAACTTCTTCTCTAAGAAGCTCTCAAAATACTTTTTATAAGTCTCCTCCCAACCCTTCGCGTGAGCACAAACCATTAACGGGGTGAGTTTATTCTTATAGGTGCCAGGGTTAGGGTACTTTGCGTTGAGTTTTTCAAGTATGATATCTACTGATTTGATCCAATCCAACGTGGATGGCAAAACCTTCTTGCCAGTCACCAGGGGATGGATTATTCGCACACTGTTGAGGTACTGTTGAATGGTTATTCAGCCCGTTTTCCATCCTTGAACAGGTTGCGCAAAGCTGCCTCACCTGATGATATCGTTCGCTGTGCATCCCCTTGACTGTTGGAAGTGAATTCTATGCTCGATTGAACGGAAGCTTCTGAGTCCATGACTACCTTATACTACAGAGGCCTATAATAATTCTAAGATTAAAACGAGGCGCCTTCTTGAGATGCGTCCCCTAGGAAATCCTGTTCTAGAACTCTTGGCTGCCCGGAGCGGATACCCTGGAAAAGATGTATCGACCATTGCCTCATTTGTCCTTACCACCTCAGGTGGCCTTTCCAAATTCCTACCTTCGCTGCTGAACGTGGGTAAGACATGGGCTGCATATCCATGAAATTTGCCCTTTTGTCTCGATTCTGGAATTCAAAGACTTCAGATAGAAACACAAGCGGCTAAGATGCACCACCGTTTGAATTCCAGATTCAGAGACAGGATCGTCAATCTTCCGCTGTAATCCAGAATTCAAATTCCAAGGCGGCAACTTTTTCCAGTCAGTGGTCATTTTTGACAAAAACTCCCAGAAAGTTTTGCTCCCGGGGTCCCAGATTAAGTCCTAATTCGCGCGAAATCGGGACTCCCCCTTCTAGAATGGTGACGGAGGCCATTCATCTTTCAGAGTGCTCCATGTCGGGGACACGTTGATCAGAGAGGGGCAGTTTTCGTCAATCGGCTGTCAAATTTTGCCAGGTCCACGAGCCGACCAAAGTGCTTTAGGGGGGGCGACTTCTGAAGCAGGCAGCATGATGCACTGTGCATGGTTTTTATCTGATCTTACATTCATACAGCCGGTCCATGGATAATGCATGCTCATAACGGAGCTTTAAGGTGCTGCTTGCACTCGACCACAATCAATCAGATGCTTCGATCCTCCTTGAAGACACTCGGCTGGAAATCGATGCTGAAAAAGGTCGTGTATCACAGGCTGGCACACGCGCTGGAAGCCAGCTATTTAGGGCGCTTAAATCTGACGGTGCAGCTAAAGCACCCTGCACTGTCTATGTACTGCTGAGGGAAACGACTAGAGGCTCATTGAAGAAGCATTTCGGATATGGAGTGTATATCTCTCTGGTGAAGAAGTCCGACAGGCCGCTCGGACTTCCGTTCCAAGGTACGTTTTCATCATCAGCAACCAAATTACCGGTCAAAGAGCTTCTTGAGATGCACGCCTCCGCAGAGTCGAAGCCAAAGAAGAAGCAACAGAGCACAAAGAAATGCAAAGCTGTGAGCAAAGCTACGAAGCAGAAATCAAAGGGCCATCCAAAATCAACTACTAATAAAGGCAAGGCGAAGCGATCAGCTACTACGGGCAACTCAGAAGCCACTGGAAAATCTCAGAGCAAGGGAATGACGCTCAAATGTGTTGCAGTCGAAAGCGACGGGGATTGAGAGACGAAGGCCATGCTAGATTTATCTTTCCTCTCTGATACAAAAAGATGGAGAGAGGTCATACGTACTACGTGCCAAAGCAGCCACGAGGGTTATATAGTTTGCTTCCGTTTATCGACGAGATCGAGAGCTTTCCACCCTTTCGCTATGAAGGCATCGTGGATAAAGGCCTCAGAAGTCCAGTGGACATGGATTTCCTACGGATGGGCGTTTTGCTTTTACTTCACCAACTCTGTAACGAAGACCTCGTTGTGTCAGAAGACGACGTCAAGGCCATAATCTCAGCAGGTGTTTCGTACGGTGAATGTGCAGGGTATTCCGAGAAGGAGGGAGAGCTTCTATTGTCAATCGCCAAGGGGGTACTCAAGGTCTGCAAGGATGCCGAAGACGATTGAAATTTGCGTTGATCTGTTGGAAAAAAATTAATGAGAGTATAACAGAACACTTACAACAGGGTGGAGTCGACCAGCAGCACTGAGATAACAATCACTCGTCTTGTCCCTTGTAACCTTTGCGGAAAGAAGCATCGTATCATTCAAAATGCACTGTTTCCAAACGACTCGGAAATTCCTCTATCGTCCGAGGGCGTGCCTCTGTGCAGATTGGTCCAATTGAACAGGCAAAATCGCTATAGACGTGACAGACAGTGTGTGCTCAAGAACAAGAGTCTCTGGTATCAGAAACATAAGCAGGCTATCTTGCTACAATTAGCTGCCAAGCGTCTAAGGAGTGGAAGGACTCGGCGACCTCATCCAAAGACCATCTCGAAGTTGAAGGAAGCAGGCGTCGAGTTTGATTCTAACAATAGAATTCTTACCGCCACGTCAGAGTCAACGGCAGCCGTTGACGAGCTAAAAGCTTCGAACCCTTAGCGAAGCTCAGGCTTCTAAAACGGGGATGGATTGAGACTCGTACAAGTGTATGTTTGCCGGAAGCTGCCATGCCAGTCTATCAATGCAGGCCGTTGCATTATGAATCTGCCTTCGTTAGACAGCACGGACAGTAAAGACGGATATCTCAAGATCTATGGAATAAGCTGTTCTAACGGTCAGAGACATGCCATGATGCGATGCTCATGTTTGTCTGTGAGTGTGGGCCTTCACACAGAGGTTTGACTCGATAGACAGCACGGACAGTGAAGACGGATATCTCAGGATCTATGGAATAAGCTGTTCTAATGGGCAGAGAAATGCCATGATGCTGGCAACCCAGTTGTTTGTCCGTTAGTGTAGGCTTTCACACAGAGTTTTGACTTGATAAACGTACGGACAGTGAAGACGGAGTTTTCGAAGGAAAGTTAGGGAGATAAACACTTGTCTGCCATACGATTTCTAGTCAAGGATACTCGCAAAAAGCCGCTGGATCAATGGGTGCGTTCAAGTCCTCTTGTCAATCAATGACCCTGCTTACCACTCTATCGTTCCAATCTACTATGTTCCGTTGGGTTATTCATTCAGTCTCCATCCTCGATAGCCCCTGATCTGATGGCCTGCGTCTACAAGTCTCGATTCGGATGGCTTTCCTGGACCTTCCATGCCATGGGCTCTGCAACTCTTGGCTAAATCCTGAGTAGTGCGCATGGGGGGAGCTCCAGTATCCTCGAATCTGACGCCGTCAACTAGCCTATTCGGATTGTTGTAAGCCGCCATCAGAGACTCCGACGTCTCAAATGCTTTAATGTCGATGGTACCCTCGTTTTTCAGAAAAGCTGCGAACGGATCGTTTGACTGCTCCCAGGACTCCATGTACCTTTTGCTAGTTTCTGGCATGTCAAGTAGCCTCCTCCCGTTCTGGTACCAGTCCTTTGCTCCTATCACCAGGAATACCAGCAGCTTCTCGACCTCTGCCATCAAAATGCTTTCGAGCCCATCATCTCTGACCCCATGAAGTGGGTTTCTGGGATTGTACCCCGCCTCCTCGGGGTAGAAGAAGCGCATTGGAAAGACCAGGGTAAGCAGACGGCGCTTCAGCGCAATGGTCCACCTCTTTGCACGCGGCGGGTAGTTGGTGCAGAGAATGTGCTGCAGCCAAAAAAGCCAGGAAAGAGAGACTTAGCTCGTAAACCGGCACCTCGGGTCTTGTCGAGTTTTCAGCGGAAGTCCAAGCGTTAGTTGACAGGGTAACTGTCCACCAAGGTAAGCATGCTTCTACGAATCTAGCTTCAAAGACAGCGCAGACAGCAAACACAGACTTCTCAACACTCTCGTAGAATCCGAATGAAATGGCACGCATTTTCGTCTCCAAGGAAGAGCTCGAGCAGACGTCTCGAGCAGATTCTGTAAAAAAAGCCCCAAACAGCGGTGTTGTCTATCAAGTGCGGACCTTCACTTGCAAACTGTACTTCACAGACACCATGGACAGCAAAGACGGAGATTTCAAAAGAAGTCAGAAGATGAATGGATGTCTGCCCGTCAGATTAGTGCTTTATTACTCACCAGTTGTGTCGTTTCAAACGTGACGTAGTCGCGGTAAAGCGCTCTGCTCGTGATGGTTGCCTCTCCGGTGAGCCGTTTCAAGTTGCTCTCCGCAAACTCGTCAGTTTCTTCTGACTCCAAACAAACAGCCATCCGAACCCCTTGCAGTCCTTGCGCAGATCAAAAAGAGAAGTGCTTTTAGAATTCTGCTGCAAGATCCGCATACAAAGCAGCTCGCCCTTTTCAAAAAAGATGAAGCTCTATGGTCTAGCAATGCAATTACGAATCAGCACAGCTATACCTTGCATCAGAAGGCACCTCAGACGTTGTCTAGAACTTCTTACCTGCTTCGTCCGGGCTGGCGGATCCCTTACTGGGCGGCCGCTGCCCCTTCGAGGTCACCAGCATATCCTTTGACACATCCTTGTAGAACGGACCGATTAGGCGCTTCAAGAGCGTCAACAAGAGGCTCTTTCCAGCGCCGCCCTCCCCGATCATGATGAGCATGACCTGGTTGGAGATGTGACCCGTGATGCCGTAGCCTAGAATGCGCTGAAGATAGGCTAGAGCTTCTGGGGTGTGCATGATCTCCCTCAGGAACTCGCCCATTCGACCTAACGGCGTGTGGACCCCAGTCGAAGGCCACCTGTACCCCAACATGAACGACCACAGGAACTGCAAAAGTAGAGTGTCGGGTGTCAGACTGCCTATCGAATTTTATCCCTCTTTCTTCTTTTCACTTCAGTCGATGCGCTGGTTGAAGCACAGCTTTGCGCACTTTCTGAAGCGCTTGAAACATACAACGGAGTTGAAGTTTACGGTTAAAAGCACGCTTGCGGAGGCCCAGGCGGCCTGATCTTGGAAAGTTGGCTACCAGTTAGATACACGAAGTACTCAACTCCGAATGAATGACTCTAAAAGAAAGACTCAAGTGAGCCGCTCTCTACCCTCATTGAGATCGTCTCGCTCCTGCCTTTCGAACTTTTGGCCCAAGCAAAGGGAGCTTTTTCATTGCAGTACGCTTCGACTGCAAGCTCACCTTGGGATGGTGCGGTACTAACTCGGCACTCGGCAGGAGGATGACGCCGTTCAGCAAGGGAAGAGCGTCTCTGTTGGAGTTGAGCAGCTTCTCGAACCCCGCATCCAGGCAATAGCCTTTCAGGGTCGTCATGATGTTGGACATCCTTGCGTTCCAACTAAAGTTGGTCAGCTTTTCTGTCTTCTTCTTCTTTCTCTTCGGGGTCCGTTCCTCGCTGCCATCATCCTCCTCGCTCTCGTCTTGCTCAATGGCAGCCCCAGTCTCCTTTTGGTACGCAGCGCTGATCTTGTTGAGTTCTCCACGGCACACCTTCTGAGCCTCCCGCCCACCTGGGTCTGCCATCCACACCGACCCTGTCCAATAGTACCACTTCTCGTTGGAGTAGACGAGCTTGTGGCCGGTGTAGGTTTGCAGGCGATCGATGATCTGAGCGCCGCCTTCATCACCTGCATAGATTGCTGTGAGTTAGCACACGCTGGCACGGAATGAGAATCCAGTCTAGCCGTTTTAGATTGCAAAGATTCATGTGTTGTGCAGATTGCTTGTGCACAATTACCACCTTTGCAGACCCCTTTTTACGCCTGAATCAAGTATCGTTTGACCCATCGAAGACCAAATAAGGCACGAGAATATGAAACCGAAGCGAAAAGCTCTGTCTTTACTGTCCGCACTGTCCATGAAGAGGACTCTATGTTAAAAGATTCGCTTGACGGACAGAATGGCTGTCAGTGCAGGGTAGGCGTGAGATCTTGATAAAAGAGATCAGGTGGTCAGAGAGCAGGCAGTCCAAGAAAAAAGCTTCGTATGCTTGAGAAGTGAAGAGCTGAGTGGAGTGTTTTAAGCTGGCAAAGGCCCCAAGCCCCTCTTATTTCCATATTTGAGTCAGTAATCTTTTCGGACAGCTGATTGAAATAGGTTCTTGGACCTTTACCCTTGAAACCTCACCTGCTGCTATCGAGAGGTTCTCCCGTAGAAACGAAAGGGGCAACAGCTGTCGGTCCTCGTACAGTCGATCCCGCTCGCTGTTCAACGGTTCTGCATCCGAAAACGCAGCCGCGACAGGGAAGGGAAGCCGTCCGAGCTTCTTGTTTCTGCGCCCCTCGCCCTTGCACCGCTCGCTGTGGCACACATACGTGATCTCCGTTCCTCTCCTAAAGAGGCCGAACTTGTTGCTGCGGTGTGCCTGCTCTCCTGCCTTGAGGTACGGGCAAGTCGCCCGGCCCCCAGGACCGTTCTCGAAGTGATACATCACAGCTCCTGAACCTGCAATCGTGCTCAGTTCTGGCTTGCGAAAGACAGAACTATTGTCCCCGTAGCTGCTGAGCATGCCCCGCATGATCTCGACGACTTGGTGTTGCAGAACTGGATCCGCAAGATCGGGCGGATTCACCGAAGCGGGCGCGCACGTAATCCCAGCCCCTGCCGCAGCTGCTTTCCCAGCTCCTGGACGGCTTTTTGACGCCCCGGCTGCTTTCGAAGAAGCCCGCTCGTTCAGGATCTCTATGAACCATCCAGGGAGGGGAGGCAGAGCATCTACAGCTGGTAGGTCCCCTCCGCCTGCGACAGTGTACCGCGCAACCTCCTCGCCCCGCTGATAGGAAGACGGGGGGGACGCAATCATGCCACTCGAGCTCACGCCTCGCATATCACCCCCCACTTTCTTCAACGTTTCCTTCCCCGTTTTCGGGTCCGGGATCCTGAGCTCGAACTTCGCAAAGTGCGTTGGTGTGCCTGCCTCTTAATCCCGCGTCCACGCTTCGTTGATGCGAGAAGTAGAGATGGACACCCCCACTGCCGGTGCGCACTCGCGGCCCCGTGAACGCGCCGTGCTCGCTCTCCCACTCAGCCAGCTGCTCCATGCCCCCGTCTTGAAGATCGAAATCCAACACGAGAACGCCAGAAGGCGCTGTGTTGATCAGCAGGGGATTGTCGCGGGGGTCGAAGTATGCTGAGCTGAGGCAGTTGGCGAGCGTAGAATCTTGCCACTTCTTGGGTGGTAACATGGCCTTCTTGCCCGTCTTAGTGTTGAAACTGGTGGATGCTGAGAAAACGACGTAACCCCTCTTGACCATGGCCCGAGCTGCAGTCTCCTGCACAGTATAAAACTTTCACTTTTGAGCAGCCAGTCCAAAACTTTGTCCGCGCTGTCCGCACTGTCCATGAAGAGGACTTTGTGTTACGATGGCTTCGCTTGACCGACAGAGCGCGTGATGGATGCAATCTTTCAGAGCAGACCATTCAGTCGGAGAGCAGGCGGTCAAAGTCAAAGCTTTTTCTCTTTGCACGAGAAGTGAAAATAACTGTCTACGCTGTCCGCACTGTCCATGAAGGGGAATCGCTTATAGAAGACACAATCCATAGACAGCACCGATGTCCAACGTAAGTCCAGGCGTTGGTGGACACACTTACTGTTCACCAAGAGAAGCATGCTTCTTGCGAACTTGCCTTCAAAAACAGCGCAGATGCCAAAGACAGACTTCTCAAACTTTCGCAAAAATCTCACAGAAGGATGCACCAACATCGTTATTGTCAGTTGAAATCAACGTCTCTGAAAGGTGGAGCTCCTTGAGGATTTGTTAGAATGACTCACCATTGGGTATACTCTGGTCTCTCCTTTCGTTTCAAGGCGCGCATTGGACCAACTCAAGCCCGAGGTCTGTTCCCCGTCCTCTTTGAACGGCTCGTCATTAGCACCTTTGCAGTCCTCCCCTGATGCTGATGGCCGCGCGAGCTCTCCCGAACCCTGCAAAGAAGTCAGAAGAAGTGACAAATCAGAACTACTGAAAAGCTCTGTCTATGCTGTCCACACTGTCCATGAAGAGGACTCTGTGTTAGATGGCCTCTCTTAACAGACAAGCATTCTGTCAGCGCGCGTGATGGATGCAGTCTTCCAGAGCAGACCAGGCAGTCAGAATCAAAAGTTGTCTTATGCACGAGAAGTGAGAAAACTCTGTCTTTACTGTCCGTGCTGTCCATCATGGGAAATCACTTATAGAACACGCATTTGCATAGACATCACTGCTGTCATCTGGCTGAATCTTCAAGGGGCAACAGATTGCATTGAGCACAAGCCCAGGTAGAAAATGTCTCACTTAGCAGCCAGGGCTTGCGCTCTTGCCGATGCTTCCCTGGGCCGTGTTTCCCTGCAGAGACTTCCTTGCGGCTCACTGGTTGAGCCATCGGCCCCTGCTTCATTGTGTTTGCGTTTTCTGCCCCGTTCGTGTTGGATGGAAGGGGCGCTAATCTACACAGGACAATATGGAGCGTCTCAGATCAGGGGATCCTCTGTGCAGGCAATGGTCCTGCCTTGAACGTCCATTCGTTGGAGACATCATGCTGTCTCTGGAGACAAAAGCTTGACAAGGGATTCGTCTCGAAGGACAGCTTGGACAGCAAAGACAGGATCTGTGAGAACCTGATGACTGGTGTTTTTGTAATCTGCGAATAATTGTCAGGCCCATACTCATCAGATTGGGTCACTCACTGGTGCAAGTTCACCAAGGAAATTGGTCCTACAGTGACGCATCCAATCTACTCGAGTGTTTCTTCTTCTGACTTTTCTTCAAGACTCTGTCTTTACTGTCCGTGCTGTCTATGGAGCAAATCCCTGTGCGAAAACTTAAATTGATAGACAACATATCGGCATGGCATCATGACATCTTTATGCCAAAAAGAACAGGTTATTCCATGGGTCTCAAAAGACCTGTCTTCACTGTCCATGTGGTCTATGAAGGCCAATCCTATGCGAACGGATTCTCTAACCAGAACATACTCGAAGGAGAAGGACAAGGTGCAGGCAGCAGCTTTACCTTGTCATCATCCAGCTCAGCTCGAAGGGCTGCCCTCCTCTCCTCGAGAGCACTGGTGTAGAGTTGCTGTCTCGCATCCTTACCATATAAGCTCTCCATCTGCAAAACACACCAGAAATGCATCGTCAAGAACGTGACCTACCTGCACCACAGCTTTCAATGTTTAGGTTGAACAGGTTGCAACCTAGACAGAACTTCCACTCGACCACTGAAAACACCACCATCATTGACAAGCAGCCAGTGTTCTTCTAATGCTCATGACAACTTGCATCAGCGAGTGACCAGTATATTGGCCACGCGCTCACTTTGTGGGACTCTCATGAGCAAGGAAACCCCTTGACAGGGCGCCAAATCTTGATCGAACACCTGTCTGCTGCTCAGCTAGGGTGCCCTCTGCTGGATAACATCGGGCTGCAGGGCTGCATTGGCGACGCAGGATTATGCGTGTGCTGCTCCTGAGACGTGGGTTGGACGCCTGAGCTAGCGGCTTTTGAGGGGCTAAGAAAGGATTGTGCTGGATGAATGATCGAACGAGGGGGCAGGAGCTCCTTTTATAGGTCCCTTTCAACCAACTGCCATGAACCAAAGTCTTCTCTGGAAGCCCTGAGTCAGACTCTCCTCCAGCGATTCCGAAGCGGTTGAGCGATTCCGAAGCCATTCGTAGCTCTCTCTGAAGAGGGGAGCTGACTCAAGACGAGTGCCAACTCAGATGGTTGAGCGCCGGTTCCGAAGCTTGCTGTCTCTCAATAGGAGACCTGACTCAGGCTTCTGAGCAGATTAGGGTTTAGCCGGCATGGCACGTGGTCGAAAAGGCACGTGGTCAATGCCTTACAGTTGCGCGAAAATTTTTGGCTGGTTTCTTTCCCTCCACGGTAACCCCAGAAAGTCCCTAACCCAGACCAGTTCGAGGGGCAGCTTGGCCAGGGGGGCTGGTTTCTCGGCCAGGGGGACACGTGTCGCGCGGATATTGGCTGAGCTTTAGCCAGCAATCTCTTGGTTAGAGGGTCCCGGCTCCCGGTCCGGTTCGGCTGACATGGCGCCCCCTGATTGGCTCCAATTTGATGCCGAACTTTCTTGGGCTTGTAGGGGCCGCAGCTGCAGTCCGAATTCAGCAAGAGTTAGCAGTCCCAAGGGGCTGACCTGTCGCTCTCTCAGTGGCCAAACTTCCATGCCGAGCTTCATATGGCTCGCTGGCCGAGCTTAGCTCGGGAGTAGAGCCACCTAAAATAACAACATATAATGACACCACAACGTTGGACAAGCCAACTCAACCCTTGCGTGCACATGTGTTAAAGCCTATAATGATACTACAGTGTGCAAAGCAGGACATCAAAGGATGAGCCTCCCCAAGACACAGATCGTTTCATCAATGTTGTCATGAGTACATTATATCAAAGACATGGGGCGAGGTAGGTCATGATAAGTCGAGTAGGCGGCCACTAAGTCTCCAATCAGCTGTTCCGTATAGCATCTCGATGTCACACGGCAGTGGACCGAGTGCGACGCAGCATAGCTTAGCATGGCATGCTCACTTTGGAGAGTGGTTGCATATGCACCATAGAGGCTCGGTTTCTATATTGATTGACGCTCCAGGAAATGATGCGTATGCATGCCACTATAAGTCGCTGAATTATGAGACCACAGCAAAGCAACACATGTGTCAAGAGAATGCCTATGCCGTAGAGACTATTGAGACCTCGATAGACACCCAAGTTAAAAGCTCAGCTCTTGCTTCCTCATGTTCAGCCGCTTGATATGAGACCAAACTTTTAGGTATCCTTTTAGGTATCCAATAAGGTCGGGTGGAATATCTTGCACACCGCCTGAAACTGTTCCATCGTGACGTTGGTGCTATAGGTTCTCACCTCCCTAGAGACCCCAAAAGGATAGAATAGGTCGTGCAAGCCTCGCACAAAGGACTGCAAAGCGCCTGGAATGTGCCCCAACTCTTTCAGAGATGGACCCAACATGCTACCTCTGCGGACAAACTGGGCCTTCTCAAGATTGTTGATATCCATCTCATGTCTTCCATGGAGCTTGCCCCCGCTACATCTGTCTAACATTGATATGAACAACCCCTCTAACATGCTGCTCTCCGTGTGAGGCTTGCCGCATAGGATAGACAGTGGGGCATATACTAGGGTGCCTGTAATCTGCTGCACACTCCCTGTGGGGCTGGTTGGTTGGTCTCTTGGATCTGTGTTTGGTGGAAGAAGCTGTAACAATGAGCAAACGATAGTTCTTAGGAAAAAGTAGCCGAAGGCTAGATGCAACGAAGTCCATGGACGCGAAGTCCTGCAGTACAGCTTCCACATCAGCTATTCAATCGTTAGGGACTCACAAAGCTATTGATATTGACGTAGTCATCCAGTCTGTAACAGACATCTTGACAGTCAGACTTGCTGCTACAGCATATTGAAGAAGACCTCGCACCTACCTTCCCAGCCGAGAAGTCAAACAAAACACCGCGGCCCTCGTAAACGCCAATGTTGTTTGGTGTCACGTCGCGCTGCAGCACGCGCGCCTCAATGCACCCTCGGATGGCACGCGCAACGTCGGAAGTGACCTGAGACAAGGGGAAGCAAGATCACGAAAGTGGGGAAGTTGCGTGAACAGTGACAGTAGCTATGGTACTTGGTTACCTTTAGATGGAACCTCTACATGATAGGGCTTCGTTCAAAAAGGGGCTCGATCATATAAAACGAATGTTAGACCACCCCTGGATGCTTGCAGAGAGCTTCTTAATCTTGTACTTAGGTAGCTTTGTGGTAGTCAAGAAACCGCCCTACAACATAGTCTAGACCAGAGCGGT